TGTGAACTTGGTACAACGAACTTTCCCCTGGAAAGACACATGTTGCGTCAAAAAGCCGATGTGCCAGAGCGCGGGTCCACGCACAGGTAGCGTTGTCTGGTTTTTGGCTGAGAAAGCCATGCACAGCGAACATCTCATGAGTGAACAGCTTTTGCACAAACTCTATACACACAAGAGTTAGTCAAAACCCCCAGTGCCGTTTCAAAAGGAATCCCTGAACCCAAATTCCCGAAGACCTTGCTACGCCCCTGAACCCTTAAACATTTGAGACCTTAAACCCCCAAACCTTAAAGGGCCGTGAGTAGCCTAAGACAATAGAGAGCCTGAATATCAGACTGTCTGGGAGTTCCGTCTGTAACCCGAGCAGCGCCAAGGCTGAGGTGCCAACGCGTGGCTCAGCAGGCCAGGGGCATTCTTCCTCTGCTTAGCAGAGTTAGGGCCTGAGCAAGGTGTTGAAATGTGAACAGAGGGCCTTGTGGGCATTTCTATAAGGGCTTTCCAAAGGGTTTTTACACGATTGCCGAGTGGGATTTAGGATAGGGGCTCATAGGTTGATATGGGTTGAACAGGTTTTAGTGGCTCGGGCGCAGGGAAACCAAAACCGGACTGCGACTCCGACTTCGAAACTGAAGTGTAGAACTGGCATCCACAGACCTTGATCCCGACTGATTTAAGCCATGAGCCCAATACTTGCCCCATCCCTACGCCTGAGAGCACAACCCTGCACAGGCCATGGCCTTGGAGCTTGCAAGCCTTGCGCCTTCGTGTTCAAGGACCGGGGCTTAATTGCCCAAGTATCGAAGAATTCGCACACTATGTCTTTGCGTGGGCCTGGCTTCGAAGATATAGAATTTCACGGTTGACGGGTTCTCACTGTTTCGGTTGAGGGTTCTGTCGGAGTACACACAGAATGAGCCCAGTGCCTCATGCAGACCATCTGCTTGCAAGACAACACGAGCTTCAGACTGACAAGTTTGCATTTCCAAACATGACTTCCTGCCCGCTTTGTGCATCAGTGCCAACAGCAACTACGAATGTGAGAGGATAAATAGTAGCGATATCCGATAGTGGCCATGATTACAAGAATTTCCAGGAGAGCATCAGCCATGATAACATTACCGAGGGCCTTTTGGCGTAAGGATTCTGGGGTGCACGGGTCTGCAATTCAAGATCGCAAAATTCGCCTTGACCCGAAGCGAACTTGCTGCATGCTCGTGCAAGAAGTCAGCTGATTGCGACATCTCGCCCGCACATTGAGTCGTACGTTGTGTTCAGTGCTTCCGATGGGAATGTTGGAGCTCGGAGATCTAGGGAAGGACTTACGGGCTAAGGCGAGAGCCATGCGGGGAGTGGTGTGATAAGCCCTTGGCCTCGTGAAAGATTGCTTACATTCGTCGTGCTCGAAAGTTCCAGAGGCCAAAGATTTCATGTTTCAGCTCGGAAGCAGGCACTGGGTCACTGTGTCAGACCTGAAGCTAGCAGCTCTAAACCCTAAGCCCTACCCCCTATACATATCTCAGTTGCGAGGATGGATGCCAAAGTGGCTTCGAGTGCCAATTCTGCCATCTCTGCCCGCCAGGTGAGATTGGGAGGAAGGGCAGCTGGCAGTTTTTGAAGTGGGTTCCTAGAACGAACTCTTGCGTGCCCTCCTGGGCTTTTACAACCTATGGTAAAGGAATGAAGTCATCTATGGTGAAGCTTTTAAAAATGTTTTTCCGTTTCTTTGGGGGTGCTGATCGAAAGATAGCAAGGTTAGTTCCCATGGATGAGTAGTATTGTCGATGGGGATGCTGGTCATTTGCAGCAGTTGCTGATCGTTTTTGCTTGCTCGCTGTTCGTCGTAAGTGTTCTTGTTACTCTCGGCTTTACCCTTGGCTCATCAATAGTCTGCTGCAAGCAAGGGGGTTATTCGCGTTTGGGCTCTAGTTAGCTGCTACTGCTGCAGTTGCTGCTGCAAGTACCACCACCGCTACCACGACCACTACCACTGCTGCTGTGCTTCACCTGTTACACTACTACGGTGCTGTCGAAGGCACGACCTTAAGACTCGCTACAAGCCCCCAAATCAGATGGCTCCATCTTGGAAACTAAGAGCGACCGCCACCGGCAATTTACCGAGAAATCACCAGCCTATCTTTGAACATAGTTTCCTGGGTGTGGAGACTTTAAGTTGCTGGTTTCGTGCTTTAAAGGTCGCAGGAAACTGCTTCAGGTAGACCAGGAACAGCCTCAAGTCCACGGCAAAGCCCTGAAGCCCCAAACGCGAGGCTCCACACATCCTGCATCAAACCCCAACTGAGAATCGGAGTTCCTATCATCTCGAGGCGAGAAGATCCGTCGCAAAAAGGACAGAGCGTTTCTTGATGCTGAGTTCTGCTTACATTGACGCAGGCATCTCAATTTCAAGAGCCACTTGTCCAAAGGCCCTTGAAGAAACTGGGTGCGATGCCTCTCCACCTACGAATGCATATAATACATATACAAGTCATATACGTTTATACATATGCGTGTGTACGTATGTATGTAGAAAGGTATTTATGTATGTGTGTATATGTAGAGATGGACGGATAGATAGGTACATAGATAGATAGATAGACAGAGAAAGAAAGAAGGACAGAGAGAGAGAGAGAGAGAGATTGACTGATAGATAGATAGATGAATAGCTAGAGCAATTGATAACTGATAGTTCTTTATACCACTCCTGGCTCTCTGCCAGAAGTCGTGAGAGTCCTAGGGCTCCTTTGAACTGAAGGCTCCTTTCCAAAGTGGCGGGGAGGTCCGTCTCGGGTAACGGCGCCTGATCAAGCTAAACCCCTTAACCCTGCAGCCCGCAACCCTAGCAAGACCGAATTTGAGGTTGCCGCTTAGGCTATTTGCAACTCGTGTGTCCTGATTCCCAACTTGTAGAGACCTCCGTGAGAAGTAGTGCGTTTGGGACACAAGCCTGGACTCACAGTCGTGGAGTCTAAACCCTTGGAAGCACTAATCCACTCAATGCCATGGCCCTGAGCCTTCATGTAAAAGCCAGGCACCAGATTCCGAAAGGCAAGAGCCCTGCACCCCGAAATGCCTCCCCCGTAAAGCCTCTCCTCAACCCCAAACACCCAAGTGCTTAAGCCTTCGAATTCAAAGCCCAACGCCCCGAACTTCCGAAGCCTGGAGAGCCCTGAGGCTTAGGGTGGTTGAGTCTTGAGTTCCTGTCCGATGGCGCAGGAGCTGAAACAGCGCCGCAAGCTGAACAAGACTACAAAGCAGTAGGCCTGCGGCCGTAGGGCTTACGGAGAGGTAGGGCTTTCATGCACAAAGTCACGCATTCTCCATAATGAGGATCTACACGGGCTTATGTGGTTCTGTAGCCTATAATGGTTCACGGCCGGGACTCAGGATCTAAGGGCACTATCCATCACAAGGAGTTTTACCGTATTTCTGATGGTGTAGGGCATTAAAGGTGTAATGCAGGATTTCGTCCAGAACAGTAAGGCTTCAGGCTTCAGGTGTCTTGCTACATAATGCAAAGGTTCGCCCTGTATTCAGCCCACGGAACTTAGCAACTATGAGTGCCGACAGCAACATTCGCTATGGAGTGGGCTTCAGAGCTTAGGTCGACGATGTCGGGTGTAGGGATTAGTGATTAGTGGTGTTCGAGGCTTGTTTCTTGGTCAGGATCCTCCTGGGAGGCCCTGTTAAGAGGTGTCGAGCTTACGGTTTAGACTGTCGGCTTCAAACGCACGACCCCAAACAACGATCGTAGGTTGCCAAAGTTGGATCTCCATCAAAACAGAACCAGACCTACATATTTTAGCATCTGAGGTTTGGCTATTAGGACCTCACCCTCTATAGGTACCTCCACGTGTACAAACCCTGCAATCTGCACGCACCCTCCGGAACCCTCGAACCGTGGATCCTAAAGACCCGCCGAACCCTGAAACGCTCGACCAAATTTCCCAAACCCGAAACCACCAGAACTGTGTGTCTCCAATCTTGCCTTCGATGCTTTAGCCTGAGATCTATCGGGGTGATGTATATGGTATTTGTCAGGGTTGTTCAAGGTTTCGGTGGGTTTTGAGGCAGACCCCCAGCTCAGTATTTAAGCATCAGCCTATAACTTTAACCTTCAACCCCTTAACCAGAACCATGGAACACTTGAGCTCAAAACGCCGACCCCAAATTTGCAGAACAAAAGGCTTGGGTACGATAGGGCGCGTTGGACAGCTACTTGGCGGCAACCCCAAAACCCGAGGCTAGAGGGTTTAGGAGTTTCAGGTTTGGAGTTTCGGGGTTTAGGAAATTTTGCCCTCGGACTTTGGCGAGTTTCGTGCAGGAGTACCGTCGAGGATTGGTGCGGCTCGCTCAATTTTGGCTACTTGAGGGATCAACCCCATTGAAATGTATCACGACTTATGAAACTCGCTGATCCTCCAAGGGGGACCTACCAACTAAGCTCGGAGACTGTCATGTTGCCTCTGGGGGTTTGGGATGGCTACGAGAAGGTTACTCTAAACCTTGGGAATTGTGATGGGTGCGTGCTGAATGGATGCAGGGGCCGACAGTGTAATACTACAGCGACTGAGACGATGATAACCACAACGACAGCAACACCAGCACCAACAGCAGCAACAGCATCAACATGAAGTTGACATTAACACTGTCGTCATCAACAACAACAACAACAACAACAGCCACAACAACAAAAACACAAGAGCACAGCTCCCACCACCTGGTGCTGCTGCTGCTACTACTGCTATGGCGGCCTCTGGTGCTGCGGGGTGCACGCCTGCGTGCATCTAAGTGAGATCTGAGCGTACTGCACTTTGTTGAAGTTGAAGTGTTTTGAGTCGATGCGCATGCATGGCAGCAACTGGGCTCACAGAGCTAGTGTGTTTTGTGGGCAAGACATGGTTGCTTGTTATGTTCAATGTAAACGTCACATTGACATCGATTGATCGGGCACGGCTTAGTGTGACTTCGGCCCATTTTCGTTTTCGATTTTGCTCTGCGTGATGGCGGAGCTATGGGCAGCCCTGCCTCGGCAACTGCGGCTTCTTTTCGGGGAAGCCGACGGCGGCATGCCCTGCTGCGACATCCTGGCAAACCTTTTCGAGGACGAACCAGACCTGGCACATATGCTGCGAGCATCGGGTTTCGGCTCTGAGCCCGAGCTGCTGGCTCACGCAAGCCGGACTTTGGCGGCCCTGAAATCCGCGGCCGTGCTGGAAGCGTCCCGACTCCACAAGCGCAGAGTTCTGGTCCCCTTGCCAACTCAAGGCATGTTGGTGCGAGCCAGCAAGCTCCGCCGGCTTCAAATGCCAGACACAGCATTCACAACAGCGTGGCTGCGACAGGCTGGCGCAATCAAGCGGCGGGGAGCATGGCCCACAAGGCGCTCCCGGCAGTTGGCGTCGGCTCGCGATGGGGTTTCCCGCAAAGCGATAGAGCAGCAGGAGCTAACTCGGTGGAGAGGCGAGCTGGTGGCGATCTTGCGAGAGGCCGAGCTGCCTGCGTGTGCTCAAGCAAGCCTGGCCAGCAATCCAGACACTGCGATCGCATCTGCTCTGGGCTCGGCTCGCGCATCCACTATCCGAAAGCATGTGCGTGAATATAGAAAGCTCCGAGCGTACAGTTTAGCCACTTCGAGATCTGTGTGGCCGCGTCATGTGGGCGTGCTGCTGGATTACCTCCATGAGCGTCGGCTTGAGCCTTGTGCGCGCACAGTTCCAGCTGCGATTTTGTGCTGCCTCGGCTTCATCGAGAAGGCCGGTGGCATCCCTGCAGCTGAGCGGCTTTCAGACATGCAGCTGGTCAAGAACACTGTGAACCAATGCACTGCAGAGCTCGAGGCTGGAGCTGAGCCGAAACGACAGGCGCCCATGTTGCCGATCGCTGCAGTTGTTTCGCTGGAATTGATGGTTGTCAACCTGGATGCAGACTTGTTTGTGTGAGGTTTTGCTTTCTATAAGCTTTTAAAGCTCTGGACTGCTTGTCGTACTAGTGACTTGTCTGGTTTAAATCCTTCCACGTTACGTTTAACTTCTTCGGGTCTACAAGGTGTGCTGGATCGCACAAAGGTTAGTGGGCCAGGCAAGCGACTTCGCTATCTTCCAATCTTCGTCAGCTGTCACGCGTTCCTTGCAGTGCCCAACTGGCTGAGCGTTGGCTGGGAGATCTGGAATCGCGAGAGCATGTCCTTTTCGCGTGATTATTTCCTGCCTCTGCCGAACGGTGATCGCTCGGGCGTGCGGCAGACGATGGCAGACTATCCCCAGACAGTGGCCTTGACCAAATCTGTTTGGCGGTTGCTCCGCGTGCCAATCAAAATGGACGGCCAATGGGCGCTCGCGGAAGAGTTTCTGTTCGACGCAGAGGAGTGCCTGCGTTTCTGGAGCGAGCACTCGGAGCGTAACTGGCTGGTGTCCCTACTCGCCAGTGTAGGTGTGCCACGTGAACAGAGAGACTTTGTGGGGCGCTGGCATGCTGCGTCATCCTCCGACGAGTACATACGCACTGCTAAGCAGATCGTTTTGCAACTGCAAAAGGCAGCTGTGCGTGGCCTGGCTGAGAACGCCGAGTTATGCCGTGCGGGTGTTGACGACTTACTCGACTTCCTGCAGTCGCAAGGGTATGCCGATGGTGTAAGGCAGGCCCAGGAGCAGAAGCTCTTGCTCACCCTGACTGAAGTAACAACACCGCCGCAGCCGGACAACGTGGCCGGCGCTCCGAGCGATCCGCCATTGCCCGCCATTCCTGAAGCTGACGCAGCTGCACATCCGACTGCTGATGAAGAGGCTCCATACTACATTTCCGTGGTCGGCAAGAGACGTTTCCGCCGCCTGCACCGAAAGGGCGGTTGTGGCACAGTTCCTGGTGGCCTGCGCGAGATGATCCCCTTGCAGCACCTGAGGGGAGCGGAATACGATTTTGCCTGCAAGCATTGCTGGCGTCGGGGCAAAGCCCCGGATGAGGCTGCTGGGCTATCCGAGGGCAGCAGTAGCGAAGGAAGCTCATCTAGCAGTTCGAGCAGCGGATCTGCTACGGAAGCGGAGTCGGACGGCGAGTAGTGTGCTTGCTGGAGTCGGACCGGACGGCAAGTAGTGTGCTTGCTGGAGCAGAAATTCTCGAGCGATCATGGCGCTACGAGCTTATGTGTGGCATGTCGCAGTTATCGGCTAGTGTTGCTGATCAGTGTTTTGCGCATGCGTGCCTAGGATGGCGAAGCATCCTTTTTTGCTCTCGTGTCGCATGTTCATCTCTTTTATGCGCAGCTTTTTTTTTGTGACAGACCGTGCACGCTGCTGACCGTTCCCAGGCAGGGCCTGACTTTTTAAACGCTCTCTATTTTAGTGCTCTGGGCGTGTCGCCGATAGCCAACACCCTGCAGAAGGGCCTGGTGTGCCAGTCTGCGTTGTGTCACGTGGTTCTGTGTGTGCTTATAACTTCTCGTGACGAAAGCGGGCCAGAATACGGCCTGCGAAGGGCTGTGTATCGCCCTTGCCGCTTGTGCTTATGTCCGTTGCTTCTCTTGCGCCCTGCTAGGTACTGGCCTGCTTTCCGGCACATGGCGGGAATCGACGATGCAGCTATCTTGGACAAGGTGGAATGCGAGCTGAAGTACCAGATGGACGAAGCGGGTGTCCCTCTGCCGATCCAGCTGATGGCCTACCGCAAGGGGTTTGATTGCATCCGCGTCTTTGCCGGCATCGATGAAACAAAGGCCGAAGTGCGGAAGGCTCTCAAAGATGAGCTGCCACTAGATTATTCCGCAGATGCTGAGTCCCGGCGCAACATGGCGCTGCTCTTGGCAGTTTGGGATGCCTGTCGTCTGCACCTTGCTGTGCAGGAGAAAAACAAGACGGACGCAAAAATGGGCGTGCAAGCTCGCAATGTGCCTTCCACTGAGCACGCAGCCATGAGGATTGCAGTGGAGAAGCTCTACGGCAAGCTCAAGGACAAGGAGCTGCCCAGCAAGACGTTCCTAGCACAGAAACTGGAACAAGTCGAAGACAATGCCCCGCAGGCCGAGGACCTTCGTGACGTGACGAGTCTAGAGGACGCCGAGATGGAGGCCTACAATGCCCTGATCGATCCGTCCACTTTCACGCTCCGCATCAAGCCAGGGCGCACGACGACCACCCTGCCAGCCACTCCCGAGGAGTTACGCATGCGGCACAGGCGGCTTGGTTTCGCATGGGAAATGGTGAAAACAAAGCACCTATCTCGGTCTTGGTTGCCCGACCGCTGCGTGGATGCTTTCCGGGAGCTGTCGGACCACGTGCTTGGCTCACATGTTGCCGGGCTTCGAGCACCGGGCGGTCACTCACCTGCCTGGAGCATGGTTCTTGTCTACGAGGGAGAGTTGCGGAAAGCGGCCTATCGCTATGTTCGCGATGGGACCTCGCCTGATCTACACGAAGCGCTGAAGCGCGCCTGCAACGCGCCTGAGATCATGAGCACGTTCTTCGTCGTGCCCTTCACCTTGGCGGGGTCCGAGCGATCCGGCAGCATGGAGTCCACTTCCCTGGCGCTGCCCCCGCCGGAGTCCTGGTGGCAACGCGGCACTGCAAAAGGCAAGGGGAAGGGCAAAGTCAACCAGGTCAAGAAGCTCATCGGCAAGTCCTATCGCACCCCGGATAACAAGTGCATCTGTTTTTGGTTTAATCGTAAGACGGGTTGCCAGCGTGCTGATTGTAAGTACGAGCATATGTGCCAACGGTGCTTCGAGAAGCACTCGTATGTGAACTGCCCTCACGTACGCCGCACCGGATCGGACGAGTGACTATCCAACCCTGCGGGCCAGACCTCGCTTGCAGGGGGGGAAAGAGTCACGGGTCTGGCCTGGGAAATGAAGCCTGTGGAGCCGGCCCCCAGTGTCAGCGACAGCGACAGTGACAGTCCAGCAGCGGCATCAGAGCACAATGGGTTTGGTGCGTGTGAGATAGGCGACATGGCATTGCAACGCGTGCAACAAGAAGTCGTGGGAAGCGAGTCGCATGTTGGGAGTCAGCTTGGCGATGGACTATGGGGTCACGGTGCACCGTTGCCATCCGTTCTGCTTGGGAAGCGGCGAGACTTCGCGGATGGGTTTGGCCTCTGCTCGCCTGGAAGATGGCCACCCAAGATGCGGAGATCTTCTGTGGACACGCCTTCTCTGGGCTTTGCGGAGCGGCTGGCTGTCGAGCTGCTGAAGCTGCTGAGTGCCAGCGTAGATATTCGGCGCCTAGCTATGAAGCTTGCTGCAGGGAAGGTCGCGGAGTGTCCCTTCAGCGAGGAGTTGGTGAATGAGGGCCGGGAGCTCCTCTTTCTGGCTTTGGAGATGGCGGGCACAGAGCTGCCCGTGCGCGAAAGGCCTGAGGGCCAACCTTTCTTCCTGGCGGCGATCGAGGAGTTATTGCGCATCTCCGGAGATCCTGACTTTGCCGCTTTTTACACGTCTGCGGACTCGTTTGCAAAGGGTGTCAAACTGGGTGTCGATGTTGCATTGCCTAGAGTCCCGGCAGTCTTTGAGGAAAAACTACGACATCGCAAGTACGGTGAAGACGCAGAGTGGCAGCGCGTCGAAAGGGCCAATTACATGTCGGCTGCAGAGCATGCGTCTGAGGTGCAAGCACAGTTTGAGGAGGAAGAGAAGTTGGGCGCCATGATCCAGATGTCTGCTCGAGAGGCATCAAAGAGATATGGCGACAAACTGCGTTTTGCTTCGCTGGGAGCGATTGAGAAAAGGGATGGGACAAAGCGTGTCACACATGATGCCACACATGGAGTTGGTGTTAACTCTGCAATCCAGCTCCAGGATCAAGTTCGTTACCCGACGCCAGGGGACTTGCGCACCGCGCTGATGACACTGCCGAGAGCTTTCTTTGGGCTGACAGGCGATGTTAAGCGCGCACACCGCTTATTGAAAGTAGCCGCCTCTGATTGGGGGTACACAGCCTGCCGGACCGGTGTGCAAGGCGAAGATATGCTTTGGTTGAACACCGTAGGGACATTCGGCGTGAGTAGCATCGCGTTCCACTGGTGCCGTCTTATGGGTGGTCTGGGCAGGGCCGCGTACTACTTGATAGCGTGCCTAGAAATCCTGCACATGGTGTACTCGGACGACCTGTTCTGGTTGACGCAGGATTCTGCGAATGGCATCGACTACATCGTGTTGCAAGTCTTCTTCTACGTAGTCGTCGGAGTCCCTTTCTCCTGGAAGAAGTTCTGCGGGGGGATTGAGTTTGCCTGGGTTGGGTTTTGCATTTCCATCAAGGATAGGGCGCAAGGGATCTCGGCACGGCGAGCCACGTGGCTAGTCGATTGGCTGAAGAAGACAGCGCATGCGAGACAAGTGAGGATTGCAGATCTGCGGGCTGTTATGGGCAGGCTCTCTTTTGCGCTAACGGCTCTGGGGCACCTGCGGCCGTTCCTTGGCCCTTTGTATGCGTGGCTGGCTGTGGCGCAAGTGCAGCATGTCGGCCGTTTGCCCAAAGCCGTTGTGTATATCATGACCTTCCTTGCAGCGGCTCTGGAAGGACACGGACGCCTCCTGCCGGTGGGGCGCTTGCCTGCAGCGGAACGAGAGCTGTTCCGGACCGATGCCCGCGCCGAAGGCAACGAGATCTGGATCGGGGGGTGGGCCCTGGATCATCAAGACAAGAGAAAGTGCAGGTGGTTTGCGGAAAGGCTGGACCATGCGAGTGCCCCGTGGCTATACGCAGCCGGAGAGTCCTATCGCCAGATCGGTGCCCTCGAGCTGCTCGCGACGCTGGCGGCAGTGGTGCTATTCGGAGTGCCTAAGGGGCAGCGAGGATGTGTGCGATGCTCGGCTGGAACCGACAACATCGGCAATAGTTACGTTGTTGCGAGGTTGCTGAGCACTTCCTTTCCCCTGAATGCATTCTTGATGGAACTAGCGTTGCGCCTGCAGAGGGAGGGCGCCGAGTTGCACCTGTACTGGCTACCCAGGTTGCAGAACGCTGAAGCTGATGCATTGACAAATGGGAACTTCGCGGCATTCAGTCAAGATCGGCGCCTGCGTTTTGACCTGGCGAGTTTCAAGGGTCTGATCCTGCAAGACATGCTGGAGCAAGGCTTAGAGCTCTATCAGGAAGTCCGCGAGTGCAGAGCCGCTAAGCGGATGAAGATGGCCGCGAAGACCTCGAGGATAGACAGTCTTCGTGTGCGGGACCCGTGGCAGTGATCTAGCCCGTACTGCGGCTGAAGAAAAGAAGGGACTTGTTCGCTGCAGATCTAGTGCGCCTTGCCAGGGGGGAACATGTGCGACTAGACCTGGCGAGTCTGTCAGGTTCCAGGGGGACGCGTGCGCCTCCCTAATTGTCGTACTGGAATTGTCTAGGCTTTGTGCTCTGGACTACCGACCACCATTCAGCAAAACATGTCAAAGAGTGCCTCGGTGGGCAGGGCTGGGGTTTGGTTTGTTGAAGTACAGGGAAGATCTCACAACTACTGAACTACTTCTTCTTCTACTACTGCTACTACTACTACTACTACTAGCAATAATACTAACAATACGAACAGTGCTACTGCTCCTACCACCCCACTACTACTACTACTACTACTACTACTACTACTACTACTACTACTACTACTACTACTACTACTACTGCTACTGCTACTACTACTACTGCTACTACCACCATGACCACGACCACGACCACTAAGACTACCACAACCACTGTTACTAACTACTTACTATGTACTAGTTTCTTCTACTTGCTACTACTAATATAACTACTACAAACTGCTCCTACTCGTGCTTACTACTGCTACTGCTGCTACTACTACTACTACTACTACTACTACTATTGCCACCTTTCCTGCTAGGATGGTGCTTGCTGTCGTTGCTGCTTCTGCAGTCAGGGTAAGCTGGAGCGTGATAACACGGAGAGACCAGGTTTGCGAGAGCCTACTGCACCGACGGAAGGTTCCTCGGCAGATGTCACTCACGAAGGATCAGGACACACCCTAAACCCTCAATGCTAAAAAGCCCTACAACCCTAAATTCCCCCCCTGAACCACAAACCCTATCTTCTGGTCGGCTGACATAGGGCTTTCTTGCAAGTACCGACGTTATCTAGGGATCCTTCTAATTAGTAAGGATGTGACCATTCAACATCTGAAGCTACAACTTACATCGGACTCAGCAAACTTCATGCAATCTCTTACTTTGAGAGTGTCAGGTAGAAGTGTAACCCTCGACGATCGAGCTGTTGTTCGGAAGGACACCTTTCTTGGGTTCAAAGCTTGCTCAAGTTTTGGCTCCAAGCCCAGGCTTTGAGGTGATGTTCACCGCTTCGGTAAAGACGTCTGAATTAGCGGCGGCAAGTTTCTCAATGCTTCCCGTACGCCCGTTGCAAACCTCGGGAAGTATCGCAAACATTCTTCGATGCAGCAAGAGTTGTGTTTTTTGCACTGATGATGGCTTGGCTTTGCCCACAATCCTCGTAGGTTTGCCACAACTATCACGCATGCTGCTGAGTGGGTCGATGAAACCATGCCGCTCTATGTCTTGAGCCGAACGGGCGCAGTAGGGAATATCGAGGCACCATTGTGACGGTGCTAGCATGACCCACACATGCCAAGTCAAGTATCGGGTCAATTTGCAAAAGCCCTGAACTTGCCTGCCAGGTGAAGCAGTGATGTGTTTTTTGTGAGCTCCTTTGTGAGTCCCTAGTGGTGAGCTCTGGCAGCGTCCGTGCGGACCGTTGCACGTGGCACTGGTTGGAGTTGGGCCTGCGCACGCACAAAGTCACACAGATGTGTGCCTGCCCACAATCATTTTAAGCGGGCGGAGATTTGGGTTTCCGCCCGGCCTCGTTCCAGCAATGTGCAAAGCCACTGGTCGGTTGCCCGATTTGATGATTTGTTTGTATCTCTCAAGAAAGTTTTTTTGAGATCGTTGTTCTGGCCCCTAGGGTCTGCACATCACTGCCGACACATTCGAACATCGCCGAAGAGCGGTTTGTGCAGGGGCTTTCTTGCAGCATGACCGGCTGATATGCGTTGGAATGCTGTATGTCCCCCAAAGTCAGGCTGCTCTAATTTCATTCTAATTTCTTTTCAGGCCGACTCCCGTGCATCCTGCAGCACGTCCCATGCTCTCCCGAAGTTGTTGAGCACCACCTGGGACGCCACGACATGTCTGACATCCATGCAGAGTCAAGGGTATAAGTAGAGTCATGCTCCTACTACAGCCCCGAGATGCTTTCCCATCACCCTAACGGCTCTAACCGTTAACCTGTGTGCCCCGCGGCCGGGGCAGCCGCGCACCCCTTCCAGTGGATTGCGGCGCCCCGGGATTTGCCGTTGAAGTTTTTGCAAACAAAGGCAGGATTCGCACAGCTTCCGCACCGGAGTCTGGCCTTTCGTCGGCTTTGTGGCTGGAGGAATCCTGGGAATATGTTCTTTGTCCGAAGTCAAAACCGTTTCATGGCCGGGGAGGTGCGGGGGTCTTTGTCCAGAAACCGTGCCCGAGTCTCTCAGAGACTACGGAGGCAGATAAGAATCACGAGTCCTTTTGTTTTAGATTAAGACGGCATCTTTGGGCAACGGTCCTCGCACGCCCTCTGCGTTGTCCCTTTTTCCGTGCATTTGTGGGGATGGAAAGGGGATTCCCGAACGGATAGCTCCAGGCCGCTAGGTCCTACGCACCCGAAGGGTCAAGCTTTGGCGGTAGGCTTCTGAGCGCGCGCGGCTTCGAGATCCCTAAAGCCGGGATTCTGTATGTGTGTGTGTGTGTGTGTTTTCAAATTGGAAACTTAAGCCTAAGGTGCACCCGTTGCATATGTTTTAAGTTTTGAGAAGCCGTGGACCCGGGGCGAAGTACCCTCTTGTTCTGAAGAGCCTACCATGCACGAACAGCGGGGCGTCTGTCCAAAGGCACTGGTTTTGAAATTCAAACCCTTTATACCTGCGTAGCAGAGACAGGAAGCTACAACCGTTGCCTCTAATGAAGCGGACAAGCACAGCATAGAATCAACCCTAGACTCAACAGTCAAGCCTCAACCCCCCGCCAGAAAAAAAATCACACTCTGACTTTGCAGATCCTTAAATCTGAAGCCCATATAGAGGCTTATCTGCCAATGTGCCTTCTGAGAGCTAGCACTTGAACCGCTAATGCCCACAAGGCTTGATAGAGGTTTGTACAATGGTTTTATTCAGGTTTGACATCGTCTTTGTATAGTTTTCTACAAGGGCTGCTAAGAAGCTGACTACTCGCACCTGCACTGCGATTTTCGACTCAAGGCTGAGGTATGCGGTGATGGTTGGACTTCTCATAAACTCCATAATGTGTACCCTGCCACTTCTGCCCTGGGCCCTAAAACCCCAAAATCCCAATCGCTTACCTTTGGACTCGGCATGCTTCCAATCCTGATGCCCCTAAGTTTTGTTTGATCAGGAGGATTTCTATTTGCCAGGAAAAGTGTTCTGTTGTGTCTTCGTTGATTCTTGGGGAGTTTCTTGACTGCGAGCTTACCCAAAAAAGGCCGCGTAAAGCTGACGGACAGAATCCTGCATACACCGCAACTATCCATACTGATGGTTCAGGCGACCTGTGAAAGTGCAGAATCTATGTGTGTGTGTATATATATATATATATATATATATACACATATGTATATATGTATGTATGTATATATCTGTATATATATATATATATATATATATATATGCATATATGTATATGTATACCGTGGAGATAGAGAGAGAGAGAGTTTTTGCATAGGCAGTTCGAACTTATGTGTTCATGCTTACGTGTGTTTCGTCTATACTGGAATGCACCTGTAGTTGGCCCCTGACTCCGCGTCACCGTAAACCATGACGGCGCCCCGTCGTGCTTCACGGAAGGTGTTGGTAGGTGCACCGTAGCCTGGGGCACAAGAAGCGCCGGGTGACACGACACAGCAAACGATGAAAACAAATGGCGCGGCCGCCTGTGTGAGAGGATTTAGGGATTTTTTGCTAGGGCCACGCGCGCTGTCTTGCGCGCTTTGGCGCAATGTCTAGGGATTGGGTTCGGCCTGGCTCTACGTACTTAAACTGCGGCCCAAAGAACTTCCCTGCGGTGTGGTCTGACAAGCTCGGGTAGCGCCTTTTGGCGATGGCATTAAGCCAATAAGGTATAGGCTTACCTCTGATTCAGGAAGTTTAGGCAAAGCGTTTTCACTGCTCTGCTCCGCTATGTCCCCAACTCGGCGAGGTCCTCGAAGCTGTCATATCCCTGATACCCAAGAGAGTTGTTGAGCTTGTTCTGTCTCTACTAGGAAGGCGCTCCCTATCGCTGCAAAGGTGCACAAATGCATATATCCTGCGGGATTCATGAGGGCCGCATTGAGCTTCAATGGTACTTGTATCCGGGCTGTGTGCGCATAGAGTATGTCCACGACGAAAAACATTTCCTGGACCTGCATCGTAGGGATCTTCACTATGGCATGTCGAGACGTTCCGGCTTAAGGCGTGCTACGGCTTCTGCCGTTAAAGCAACTTCTCTCAGCCCCAAGCAGCAAGCACCGAGACGTCTCCAGGCCCCAAGAGGCCCAGCCCAAGCGTGTGAGGTGCCGCCACCCTCGGTACAGCTGTTCGCCTCACCGAGAGCAAGAGCGAATGTGCCGAGCCCCGAGATGCAGCAGGTGCAGATGGCTTCCAATTTGGAGTTTAGGATGTATGGTTTTTGTTGCGGTGTTCGGCATTGCATGTCGGGTCCCGGGTTAGTGGTTTAGGCGTTTGGGTTCCTGCATATCTCTGAGGCAGCTGTACGATATCAAGAGTTTTGGCGAATGTCTCTACTCTTCGTACACGTCTTTCATGCTTGTGAAAATGAAAAGCTATGTGTCTCTTGAAGGATCATCATGCATGCCAGTTTTCGGACTGGCCTCACTGCCAGCAGCCATTCTGGGAATCATTCATAGGGTCATTTCTTCAGCCCTCACGTTACGTTTGTGCTACATAAGAACCAGTGCTAACTCGTACCACCGGTCTCGTCTCGTGGATGGTCTGAGATCATGAATCGTTTGTTGAGACACCTGCCGGGCCAGACACCATTGCCAACAGCCAACAATCCGAGGTTGACCAGTACCAACTTGCTCCAGTGCCAACAGTAGCAAACTTGGACTAGTGGCGATAGTCGAGAGAATGCCGCAAAAGCAGATTGGAAGCAGGAACACTGACTGTACGGTCAGCATTCATCGACAATTCAGCACACAGGTTAGCACCAGCCACGGCTGTGACCTCCACGATCATCACCACGACCCACAACCACCACCACCACCACCATCAACACCAGCACCAGCACCGCCACCACCACCACCACCACCACCACCTTACACAAATATCGGAGTTACAATATGCAACACCATGAGCCAAGCATCGCTAGTATCAGTATTCTGGAGGTGTTGTGGCCCTGCATTATGAGCACTGGGCATCGTCCTGAGACTCCAGGGAACCTTGCGCCGAGGTCGTCCCAAGGACGTGGAAACCAAAGCGGCGTTTGCTCAGCGGCGTCCCTGGGAGCGGAGAGGACGTAAAGACTTCGGATTCAGGACGTGTGCTAAAGCAGGTCTCCCGTGGCGAGTAGCACAGCAAGGCTTTCCAAATGCGTGCAGAGTCGTCTCGAGTCTAAACCGCACCATGTTAAGCAGTTCCGAAAACCACAATCCCGAACACCCTCAAGTCATGCTGAAGCCTCCCAACTGCAACCGCCATGACTTAAACCGGGGCATGGATTGACAAACACCAGCATTGTCCGTCGTTGGGAATCAGCCGTGTTAATGAGCACTGTATGATGTTGACCATCACTTTGGAATATTGTGGTCTTATAGACAGCGAAGTACTGCAGGCTATGAGGGTGATGCGGCCTTTGAGCGCTTTCCTGGCGAGGTCCGACAGCCGGGCTTCTAGAAGTCTAGGAGCTGTAGCCTTCATGGGTATTCTGCAATTTTTTGCAGGATTCTACAGGGGGTCGCTGGGGGTTTCAGGGATTTTTAAGTTTTTGTTTGCAGCCGTTTACGGTTTTCGGGGCTTCTGTTTAACGCATTCAGTGTTCAACAGAGGTTAGTCTAGATAGGGTTGCGGAGGCTGGGTTCAAGGTTTTGGTTTTACTAGTGTTGCAATATTTGTTGGTGCTTCTGTATCGGCCGGAAATCAACAAGGCTTCGAGAGAGATCTGAGGCTGCGGGACCCCAAAATCGGAGAATCTTCAGAATCACGACCCCCACACCTCAAAAACATTAAATTGAAGATGCTTCTTTGGTGTTCTGGCTTTGGGGCCCCTGGGGCGGCCGACTTGCAGCGGCTCAGCGAGTATGTGACGTTTATAGTGAATCTCAGAAAGTTGGTACATGGAAACAGATTAGTGCCGGGATCCCCTAGACTTTACCTTACGGGCATGAGCATATTGATGTTCCAACTTTCTGGCTTCTACTATAGGGTGTTGGGTTTTCCACGTAAACGCCTAAGCCGATTCCCCAATCGTAAAGGTCTGTGGGTTCGAATTCAGGTTAAGACTCGGGCATTTTCAGTGAAGGATTCTGGCTTTCCGTGTTATGTGGTTGCTTGTACGGCTTTCTCGGGAGTTCAGGATGCCAGTGCTTTCAGGGTCTGGGTTCTTGGTGGTTTCCGTTCGGGGGCGCACCCCTGGCGCTTTCGGCCCTGCACCTTGGTCCCTCTTCCGCACAGGGGCTCAACAGTTAAGGCTTCAGGCTTATGCGGGTAACTGCATATAGGGTTCCTTCAGCTAGGTTTGCTTGGGTTTGCTTTCATTCGGAGTTGCAGTCCGCAAACATGTACGAGCTGGGTGTTCGAAACTGATGGAATTCATCAATCTTACTAGTGTTTTGCTTAGAGTGCTCCCAAAACCAGCAAGGAGCAGCAAGACCGTTGCTAACCGCCATAGACTTAAGGGCACTATTTCGGGTTGCAGGTAAGTTAACTTGTCATCCCGACACAGCGAGGCTCCTGACAGATGAGCACACGAGGCAGCCAAGAGCTGTGCCCAAAAGACTGGCAAACTAAGACCGAAAGGTATCTCACTCTGAAGAAATACATATGAATCTTGGGAGGGCTCAGACTTTAGAATTTTGGGTTCAGGGTTCACCGCTCCGACTGTTCTGGTTCGGGGTGCACACTGACACTGTACCAAAGACCGATTTGCACTATGCGCAGGCGGAGCTTGGCGAGACCGAAGATGAAGAAGCCGCCGTGGCCCAAGTACTGTGGCGGCCATGGTTTCCTAAAGAGGATGAGCAATTAGGTTGTAAGTATGTACTCTTATTACTAGGGTATCTCACCTCAAATAGGGCTCTTTACACAGACCACAGGGTCGCAGAAAGCCCGAAGTCCAAGAAGGTCCGCGAAAGCTCGCTGCAACAAGCTCATGCGGGGAACGGCTCAGGGCTGTAGGATTTCCGGGCTTCGGGTGTCATTTTTTCAGGGTTTGTCGACTTAGGGTCAGGTCAGGAGCTTAGGATTGAACTCGGTTACCACCCATGCCGTGTAAGCTACACTCAGAGGCAGGACTCCTCCAATTTTTCCGAGTATTCCCAGAGAAACATTCACATGCATTCATGGAAGATCCTGATGAAAGCACCCTGACAGGGATCCTTATTGGGGTTACGGTACTTATAAGTCTGTGAAAATGACCAGTTACTAAGTTCCCCGACCCTCCAAGTTTGAGATTTGGCAGACAATCAGGTTTGAAAAATTCAGATCCGGTGAATCTCGACTGTTGAACATCCTGGCTGAGCGTGCGTGCTGTTGCAGTTGTTGTTTCTAGGCGTTCAACCTTCCAAGGTTTGGGGATTTGAAGATTTGTGTGTTTTGATGCGCAGTGTGCAGGGTAGAGCGCTTTCCTTTTGTTTGTTGCTGCTCACGTTGTGCGTCAGTCCGTCATAAGGTCGAGTCAGAACTGGGTTTTCGGCCCGGAAATTACAAACTATGCTACTGTACGGAGGTATAAAGCAAGTGTCCGTCGTCCTGAGTGTGACGACTTCGTGGCACAGGAAGAGGCTCGAAATCTCATAAATATCATGCTAAGCCTCAAGGCTTCAAGGTTTAGGGCCCCGAAGCTCAAAGTCTAAGAATGGCCAACGCCGCCACTTTTTAATGATTCGGGAGCACAGCTTCTAGCAGTGACACAAGCAGACAGAATCAGTGAATGATCACGACGATGATCCGATGGCACTGGAACTAGCAAGCAGCAGGAGAAGACCGTAAGCCTGGAACCCTAACACGAATCGGAGCCTTTTGTCCCAAAGCCCTGAACCCAAAGGCCCCAAACAGCGCAAGGGGTTCCCAATTCTCGAAGCCCTGGGCCGGAATTGGGGCGGCAAAGGAGCTCCGGGTTTTGAGTGATACTGTCGTCTTGACAAACAGATTCTGGTTCTTCAAGACCACACATGGAAAAGACCAAAAACACTTCACAAGGCCTGATGACAGCCACATGCACAAAGCCTTAGTAAACCTTTCAAAACAAACACGTGCCAAAAAGCAGCTTCTGAGCTAAATGAGATCTCAGATGTTCAGACAAGCGACATGGAAACATAGAACCAGCGTAAACACTCGTGGCAAGCCTGGAACCCTAAACCGATAAACACTTGGACAATTGCGATCTTCTACGCCCCTTAGAGTGAGGCCGGTCGTCTCCTGGTGCCCTCCCTGCTGGCCGGCGTCGCGGCCGTCGCGGCCGGGGCCTCCCGGTGTCGCTTTGGGATATCAGGATAATCTCAATGTGGTTCAGGGCCAGTTACGGCCAGTTCAATGCCTTAGGGATTTAGTGGCCTGGGGGGTTTCGTTTGGGGCTCAAGGATTCTGGGGTGTTAAGCCTTGTTCTTTGTCAAGTTTCGGGCCGTAGGGCTCGGGATTTCGAATGGAGGAGGGTCTGAGGGTTTTGCTGGGCTGAGAGTCTAGAGTTTAATAGTTTAGAAGTAAGGTTGAGGATTCACTGCAGGAACACCCAGGAAATGCCGTTTACATGAGTTTTGGTGGCTGTAGATTCGGTAGCTTGGCGGGTTGTGGGTATTTGTTTGGTGTCTCGAGGATTAGGAAGAATGTGAGCTGTAAACAAAGTTGCCTTTCGGTGGTCCCACGAATCAGAGTCCTGGTTCGCGTGGCCTGGGATTTTGGAAGCAGATTGGAATATCAGGGGGATGGGAGTGGAAGTGCGGTGATGTGGAGACTGGTAATGACCAGAGAGAGCACGTGACTTCAAATCTGGTGCTGTTGAAATGCGAGTCTGCCAGCTGGTGCACTAGCCCTTCTCGGCCCTTCCCCAACATTCTAGCCCCGAAAGATCAAAACTACAGAACAAAGCTCGAAGAAGCTGGAACTCTGGGCAGTCAATACCAATCCCGGAAGTCTTTCCCGGATTCCGTACCGGAGAAATGCAAACACCTCGGGCATAGGAGCCTGTGAAGGGGTTTCAGAAATGTAGGGACCTCAATACCTCCACTTATTCATACTCATAAACATACATTCATGCACACATACATACAGGCATCCGTATATACCCCCGCCGAGAATCCAAGCCTTTAGTCTGCGCAAGTCTACTATGTCGGTAATTATATTCCTGGTCTGCACACTTAACTCGTATCTGTGTACATGGTGACATACATACGTCTGCGCCTGCTGCAGAGGCCACAAGTACATCCGCAGCACGTGCAGTCAGTTGAACAAGACGAATCACCAAATTCCTCGAGACAGTCCAAAAAAATCCAAAACACCAAACCTCATGTGCCAAAACGTTAAAGACATTCCAAGGAAAAACAAAAAACAAACATTTCGGAATGTCTCAGACATCTGAAATGAGCATATTTCTCGAGACAGTTGGAAAAAGAAGGAAGAATGCCAAAACTCATAGCCAGCAGCTACTATCTACAGATGAATCGGCACTTAGCTGCCGAACTGCTATCTATCTCGTTTGCATTAGTGTACCGATCGACTAGCTATTTCAGTATTAGTTAAGTAGTAGATGTTCGTGGATATGTTCTGGTTTGTTTATTGAGCAGATTTCAATACGAGACCAAATGCTGCGAAATATCCCATATTCACTTCATGTTTGCAAAAACAGAAGCGATGACTGTTGTTGCTTGACAAGCTTTACATGAGCACTCGATGACCATTAATATTCGAGGCCAAACTAGGTCAGGCGCCGACCAGGATCCTGGTGGCGACGTGATGAACGAACTGCAATGTTTCCTAGGGACAAAGCTAGTTTCTTAGCAAAACTGGGTATAGAAAACAACCTCAAAACTATTCACGACCTGAGCCGAAAAGAGAAGTTGAAGCACTGTAAGTTCTAAAACTTGCAGCCAAGGCACACAGAGCTCTGGGGCTTAAGGTTTAGGGTATCGTACGTACATATGTAAAGGTCGTCGACATATGTTCGTGTGTATGTCACGTCTGTGGTCTATGTGGTATTCATGGCATATAAGACATGTTGTATAGACTCATCAGGCATTCTATGCACATACTACATAGATGACACAGGACATGCATCAGGCGGAGAATGCGTAGAACACATACTGTACATGTGGTGCAGGCAAGAGAGACAGTACATGCAGCCTAGCTGTAACCGACAATATCACATTATTGCACAATGACCAAGCCCCCGATTGCGGGGCAGGTTTTGGCCCTGCATAGTTGGTTTCCAAGTCCAATGTTTTTCGGTTAGCTGTCCGATTGGAAGCCCCGTGGTATTACGAACTCGTCATCGAGTTCGTTGGTGGGTGAGTGCTGTCGAGAAGAATGCTGACGGCAATACTCCGCCGGTTTATTCAAACTCCAGCAATGGAGAGAACAGGGCAGAATTGAAGACTTTGTTGTCGTGCCCCTGAATTATTGCTGTCGCGAAGAAGGCTGACGGCAATACTCTGAGACTTCATTCCTGTTCCATTGCTGCGAAAGAGACGTGCAGAGCACAGTACTTCGTTGTCGTACTCCGGGATGCGGCCTGTCAGGCCTGTCAAGAAAAGCCTGACGGCAATCTCCTGAGGCTTTTTTCCTGTTCCAGTAATACCCAAGAGAAGGGCAGAATACAATACTTGGCTACCACAGACAGTAGAAGTGCGGATTCTACGGGTTAGCATGTGTATGTATGTATGTATGTATGTATGCATGTGTACATCTATATATATATATACACATGTACACAAGCACTGCCACCCTAACAGATGAGACCCCGCAATAACTCAACTTGCACATGACGTGCTTTTGTTTTGGGACAGCTCGCTACATGGATGCTTTGGTAGGGTTTTGCTGGTTCAACAGGAACCTGCAAGTCTGGGCAGGAACCGATACGGGGCTTCGTGAAAGTAGTGCTACCTCATCGGGGGGGTTCAGGGGTTCCTGAATGAGGAGGATCCCATTATATTAAAGGGCTCTATACTTTCGAAGCATCCCTTGCATTGCATGCTTCTTGGTTTTGGCGCTGGGCACCGGCTTGTAAGCATGGAGCCCTAAAGCTGAATCCCGGAGCTTCGAAACCCGTGCCCTCAAAGTCAAAGCTACTTCGATCCTTCAAGCTGAGCTCAAAACCAAAAACAGGCCCTGGTCGCTGTGATGGCCTGCTTACGAGATCAGAAAGCAAAAGGAGCGAAAGGCTGCCATGCTCAGGGTACGGTTTAGTGTTTCTTAAGGTTGAGGCTCTCCGCGTTTTGGGTTTGGGTTTTCGGGTCCAAGATTGCAGTTCAGTTTCTCAAGGCTAGGGGCTAATCTTTCGATGGTGGGGCGGGGTCCTTGGAGTTTAGGGCTAGAGGTTTTCGACAAGGTTACGTTGGCAAACATCAAACTCAATACAGCACATCAGTTGGCCCTTTGCAGGCTGCGCGCATTTGTCGGAGTCCACGCTTCCGCATTTCATAGGTTTCGCTTTCGCACAGGGTTATAGGGTCTAGTGACCAAATCTTGGGGTTGGCGTACACTGGGGAGGCCTGAGGTCAGGGATTTGACGTTTCGGCTTGAACTTGAGTGTTCTGGTGCTTCAGGGTGCCAGGCCCCGCAACAGAGCGAGAGAGAGAGAGAGAGAGTGTGTGTGTGTGTGTGTGTGTGTGTGTGTGTGTGTGTGTGTGTCTGTGTGTCTGTGTGTCTGTGTGTCTGTGTCTGTGTGTCTGTGTGTCTGTGTGTCTGTGTGTCTGTGTGTCTGTGTGTCTGTGTGTCTGTGTGTCTGTGTGTCTGTGTGTCTGTGTGTCTGTGTGTCTGTTTATGTATCTATGTATGTACGTATGTATGTACTGTATGTATGTATGCATGGATGGATGGATGTGCTTGAATTTGTGTCTGTATGTGCATATGTGTGTGTACGTGTATCTGTACATCTATGTATTTACGTATGTATGTACGTGTGTATGTGTGTTTATGTATGCATGTTTTGTGTGTGTGTGTGCGCGTGTTTTTGTTTTGTTTGTTTGCTTGCTTGCTTGTTGACGTGTTTGCTTGTTTTGTGGTATACACATGCCTCTGGCTGAGGTCCAGGCTCACACTGTCTGAATGCATGGATCCTTCAGCAACTTGAAGTCTTTGAGATCTTCATGGCTTCTCTAGGCACTTGGCTTCTTCCGAGCAAGTGTTGCGAAGTTCCCATAACAGCAAGGGTCTTGACCCTGAGGTGTTATTTCGGTTGCGAAGAGGGGATCCTCATGAAGGGCTTCCTCAGCATCTGTGGTGGTTGCAAGCTTTGCAACGCATCAAGAGCAGCCAGTGGATTAACTACGGCCCAGCGTTACCTCTGCCCGAGAGGAGTAGAGCTTTCTGATCTCGACGTACTGGTAGCTAAACACGAACTCATGACCAAAAGTGACACTGCCCAACAAAGGTTCCAGAGAGCCCAGGTTTCCTCCCTGAAAGCAGTGAGCCTGCCACCCCAACTCCCAATACTTCAAAGCCAACTCCCTCCTTTGTTTGCCCTCAGTCGCAGGTGCCATCAACCGGCCACCCTGTCCTCTCGAGTCTCCTGCGAGCAGCGGGCGCATTTCCATCCAGGCCCAGATTGGCGGGATGGTTGTGGTGCTGTGGCTACAGATCAGGCGTGTGGTCATTGTATGCAACTGCAGGAGTTGCAACCATTAGCACAAGTTGTAAATGTTGTGCTTAATTTTGTTTAGGTTTAGTATGAAATGTCACCCAGCCAGGCCCGGTGTAGAAGGCCATGCATTGCAGAGTGAGGCCACCAGATTCGTTCAAGCTGAGTAACCAGAGTCTCAACGAACTTCGAGAGGGCCCCTGGCTACTCTGCTCTGTGGACTTGCACACCCACTTCAAGATCCCATAACTTAAAGCAACGCGTGTTGCCTCATGCTGTGTACTTCTGATACAGAGAAGGGGTATTCGGGATCTAGTAACTTGCAGATGAGGCTTGTTCTAAGGTAGACCATCCACGAGCCGGCATTCATTGAATATTGGGCTTGGACATGAGTTCTAGCGTGCCTCGGTTGGTGCCGGTTCCAATCTTCGTTCAGTTCAGAAGGCAGATTATATAATTATATCATAGAGCCGTCGAGATAATTTCGCAGGGTTTGGGTCTTGCGGTTTCCAGGTCAACGAGTCGCAAGACAGTATCAGTCTACCTCGTCTCGTCTTTGTTCAAGAGCTCGCACTTCTGACGAGTCGGAAAACCTCCTGACTGAAGCGTGTGGTGCCATGAAGCAAACTCCGTATCTAGTCGCCGCCATCTCCCTGCAAGCTTTGGAAAATTGGGGCCTAAGTGCGAAACTCAGGCTTTCGGATTTACAATGTCGATGATCTCAGAGTATGAGAGGTGCTCGAAGGTGTGGTATAAATATCTTGGAAATCTTTCGGAGTTACGTGAGTTGATGCAGTAGAGATGATCCTTCTTCAGAAGGAACAACTTCCGCCGTCTCTTAGCAGGTGGTTCCTGTTGCCCGGGCCTTGGGCTTCAATACCGCATGTGCCTGAAACGCCTTGCGAGTGGGTGTTGAGGATATGCAGGCTTCGCTGTTCAGTTCCGGAGCCTCGTATGCCGTGCTTTAAAAAGTCGTGGACGTCAGCAGCGTTGATC